AAATTTACTAATTCAAAAGCAAACAGTCATTTTATTATTTTACTAATAAATTATAATTTTTACTAATTTATTAGTAAAATTTACTAATTCAAATTTAGAGAGTAATGAGTTTTGTTTTCGTTTTATTAAAACAGTAAAATAAATAAAATGTATTTGCAAATAGTAATTATTTTCATTATTAATAATATATTAATATTGTTAATTATTAGAGTAAAGATTTTCTTTTGTTAATTATTTAATTATTTATTGTTAATTATTATCAATTATTTAGGGGAGCAAAGTTATTGTCAGTTTCTTGATTAACTTTCTAAATAATTTTATTCTTTTCATATTATTTAAACAATATAATAAATAATAATTTATGTTTATACTTATTAATTATTATTAACAATAATTTAGAGTATTTTAAGTTATTTGCAGTTCCCTTAATAAATAAATTTTGTCGTCTTTTACGTACTATAGCAGTAAAAATTTATTTCTGAAGTTGATCAAAAAAGTGCAAATAATTTTTTACATCAAAAATTTCCAAAAAGTATTAAAAAATCTTTTTTTTCTAATAAATTTTTCATAAACATTGTAATATTCAAAAATGAAATATTTTTCTTTACTTTTTGGAAATTTTTTGTTTGAAAAAAAGATATTTACACTTTCTTGATTAATTTTCTAAATAAATTTTATCATTTTCAAAGTGCAAAATATTTTCTTTTTCCTTTCAAATGTTGATCGTAAATGTTGTGAATTTCAGCACAATTTCAATTTCAGAATATTTGTTGTCAAAAAAAAATTATTTGCTTGTAATAATTCAAAACGACTGTATTATTAAATAATTATATAATTTTTAAATAATCAATTTAAATAATTTTCTATCATACTTTAAAATTTTATATTTAATAAAAAATGTATAATTATTATAAAATTTACATTTTTTATTAAAAAACAATAATTTTTGTTTGACATAAATTTTATGAATAAAAAATTTTTGAATTTGAAATAAATAAATAAATACGAATTTTTTGCATTTGAAGTATAAATATAAATTATAATGATAATAATTATTTATATAAATTTTTTTGTGTTTTAAATGAATACTATTAAAATGATTGTTATTTGTTATAACAATTTTTTTTCAATAATTTTCAAGATAATTTTTGTATTTACAAATTTTTTTACACTTATTTAAAAATGTATCTCAATAATATTAATAACTAGCTGTCGTACCCGTCTTCGACGGGTTGTAGTTTCTGATAATGCACTTAACAGTGTATCTACCAACCTAGAAAACCGGAAAATAGCAGTCTATTAGGTATTAAAGTAACTTACAATCATAGCCTTATCCGATTAAAAAATATTAACTTGAACAAAAGTTATGACATTTTTCCAAAAAATTCAAAAAAACAAAAAAATGCAAATTTTTTATCTTTTGTAAAATGAATGAAAAAACTATCCTTAGCTAACTTTTTCAGATAAATACAACCCATTTCTACGATAAAATTTTTAAAAAAGATGTATTTTGAAATTTTTTTTCGTTTTTTTAGATCAACTTTTTTCTAAGAAAATAGTGATTTTTAATCTTTAAGCAAGCTTTTCAGGAAAAGTTATTAAAGTTTTTTTTCTAAAGATCAGTATGTAAAGTAAAAAATTTGCTACATTAAACAAAAATAATTAGCTAAATGCCATAAAAAAGAAGGAAAAATGTTGAATTTTAAGAAATTCGGTTTTTTGAATTTTTGCTAATTTTACAAAATTTTAGATTTTTTACCGAAGGGTGGAGATAACAAATTAGGTAAAGTATTTTTTAAGAGCACAAAAATAATAAAGCTAAATGCCATAAAAAGAAGGAAAAATGTTTAATTTCAAGAAATTCATTTTTTTGCATTTTTGCTATTTTTCCATAATTTTAGATTTTTTACCAAAGGGTGGAGATAACAAATTAGGTAAAGTATTTTTGAAGAGCCCAAAAATAATGAAGCCAAAAGCCATAAAAGAGAAGAAAAAATGTTGAATTTTAATAAATTCGGTTTTATGAATTTTTGCTAATTTTCCATAATTTTAGATTTTTTACCAAAGGGTGGAGACTATTAAATATAAGTAAAGTATTTTTGAAGAGTACAAAAATAATGAAGCTTAATGATATAAAAGAGAAGAAAAAAATGTTAAATTTTAAGAAATTCGGTTTCTCGAATTTTTGATAATTTTTGATTTTTTGCTAAAGGGTGGAGACTATTCAAATAGTATAATTATACTACCGAAATAGCTAATGGTAACTAATTATTAATTAATTAATTATTAACTAATTATTAATTATTATTAATTAACTAATTATTAATTATTAATTACTAATTATTATTAATTAACTAATTATTAATTATTAATTATTAATTATTAATTAATTTATCCCGGGTATTTTTGATTTTCCGCAGATTGGTAGAAACATTGTTAAATGTATTGGTAGAAACTAAAACCCGTCGAAGACGGGTACGACATGACAGCTAGTGCTATATATTTTCAAAATTTTTAAAATTTAAAATTTATCTTTTGAAATAATTATTGTCATTAATTTTACTTAAATTTTATACAGGGTTAATTTTAGTATTTTTTATTACAATTTAGTCATCAGAATGAAATTTGAGTTTTTCATTTTTTGATCATTAATTAATAAAATATAATAGCAATTTTGAATTCTGTGCAACATACTGACAAAAGTCTCATATTAATTATATGGATATTGTTAATATTCTGACCTAATAGAATTCTTTTAAGAAAGTAAACTTATGATTTCAACAACAAATTTTTATTGTTGACCTAAGAAATACAACCGTATAAAAATTAATTACAAAAAAATTTCAATTTTTAAACTTTTTAATTTTTCAATATTTAAATCTAACACTTTTTATTTGTTATTCAAAATTTTATTATTCTGACGATTAAATCTTCATAAAAAACACTAAAATTAACCCTGTACCAAGTTTAAGTACAATTCACTAAAGTATATGAAAAAACTAAAAATTTCGAATTTTCGAATTTTTGAAAAAATGGCATAACTTTCGTCCATATTAATATTTTTTAATCTACTATCGCTAGGATTTTAAGTTAGGCTAATGCCTAAAAGACTGCCAAGTTTCACTTCAAACGATCGAACCGTTTTTCCGTGATACGCGGTCGAAAATTTGCGGACATACATACACACATACACACATATACACATACACACATAATTTTCTTAATAGTATTTTCGCATTCCTTAGAGTGTAAAAAGAAGGAATATAATAGAAATTTTGAATTCTATGCAATGTACAGACAAAAGTCTGATTTTATTAATAAGGATATTCACATATTACTATCAATGGAAAATATTATTTCAAGTATTTTATGGTTAATAATTTGAATATTCTCATTAAATATTATTATATTAAATAAATTATAAAGAAATAATTTAATAATTTAAAATTATAATAAGTATATAGTTAAAAAAAGTAAAAAATATTATTAGTGTAAAATATTAACATTAAATTCTTAAAATAAATTGCAAAATTATTTTTTTTTTTGCAAAGGTGTTTTTCACTTGAATTTTAGTTAAAAATAAATAGAACCACAAACCGAAATAGTAAAATTTTATCAAACACTAATAAATATTGAATAATAAAATTATATAATTTGCTGGAATTGTAATTATTAGTCTCATTACTGCTCACTGAAGTAGTTGTAAATATATATAAGAACTGCGTATTCATTAAACGATAATAAAATAAAAATACGAAGTAGTGAATACAAGATAAATTGTCTATAAAAAGTATCTGATCTGATACGAATTCATAATTCACAGTTTCAAAGAATTTAATTTTTCTTTCAACAAAATTGTCTTGTATAAAACTTTTTTTTTATACTCAAAAAACTTTTCATATAAAAAAGTATATTTTCCCCTTTTTTTAATGTAACATTAAGGACGCAACACTCAAAAATTGTTTTTTGAGTGACGATAAAATTTAACGACCCTTTTTTTTATTTCTAACGAAATGACCGAAACTTTCACTAAAAAAAAAAGGAAAAAAGAAATTTCCCCAAAGAATAATGTAAAAAAACAATCGTAAAATAAAAACAAATATAAACAGCGATGAAAAAATCATTAAAAAGTGTATAATAAAATCATAAAAAAACAAATTGCCTCTAAAAAAGAATTTTATATACGAATATTTGATTTACTTTTTAATTAATTACCTTTTAATTATTAAAAAACCAGGAAATAATTTTTGCTTTTTTTAAATCAATTCATTATGTAGAAAAATAAATTATTAAAAATAGTTTTTAATAATTTTTTTTTAATAATTTTTTAATTTTAATAATTTAACTATTATCTACTTTTTTGTAAAATATTTCTAAATAGAAAAAAATAAATTGTGTATAATCCGTGACAACAAATATAATTCATTTGAATTGAAATTGGCTCTTAGTGTACTGTTAAATTTTTAAGTCGATCTCATTTCGACATTATATCGTTAGTTCACTTTTTTTTTCTCCTCCTATAGAGACTTTTTTTTCTCCCTCTAAATCCTCGTAGGCGTACTTTCAATTTCCATTAAGTACACACATATACATGCTTAAATGAGTGGATATAATTTATTTTGAAATCTGGAATATATATTAATACTTAAATTTTTTTTTCTTTGGAGTGAGAGAGAGAAATATCATCTCCGAAGATTGGGAAAAAGGTGAAAAAAAAATCGCCGCGGAATTAGAAAGCTCGTAAAATATGAAGAAATATTTAAATGAAATATTTTTTTCCGAAAAAAAATATTTTAACTTATTTATAATATATATATTTATTCTTATTTCTTAACATATTTTAATAATAAGTGTATAGAATTTATATTTTTGAAATATTTGACATTGAATGGAAGTTCGTATATGTATTTTAATTTTTTTTTTTCATTTTCTGATACTCGAGATCCTCGATTCTGGTTTGTACTAATACGAGTTCTTGTTTTCTGTTTTTTGTTTTGCAGATCTTTTTCAGGGCTGGTGCTCTAGAACGACTTGAATCCCAAAGGGACGAGAAGCTAACCGGACACATCATACTCCTTCAAGCAAGATGCAGGGGTTATTTGGCTCGAAGGAAACTCAATACTTTGAAAGTAAATATATTTTTTCTTATCTTTTTTTCAAATTTAATACTATTTGAGTTCGGGATTTTTTTCCTTTTTTTTATTCACTTTTGTTTAGAATTTTTTTTTCTGATCTTTGGCTCTGTTTTCTTCGACTGTTCTTTATTTTTATTTAAAATTTCAAAGAAATAAATTTATTTATTTATTTATTTATAAAAATACTAAAATAATTGTTATTTTTAACACGTTAAGTCCGTGTATTTTAAGTAAATAAAAAATAATGAATAAACAATAATATAAATAAATAAATAAAATAATATTAATAATAATAATCTATTTAATTCAATATAAACGGGATATTAATATTTTTCAATATAAATAATAAAGAATAATAAATAAAAAGAAAACAGAATATTTTTTCACTATTTTAATTATTTATTTATTGTTAAATTTATTTTTTTATTTTATTAACTTTATTTCTTGCTTTTCTAATTTTTTATTATTTCTTAGACAGAAAAAATTTGTAAATTTTCTACTTAACTATAAAGTCAAATATAAATATTTATTAGTAACAAATAAATTTTTTGTTTAAATTTTTATTTAAATCAATTAGATAATATTTGATTTTGGTTCAGACGTTTTTTTGGTAATTTGCACTGGAAGAAAAATTTGTTTGATTCAAATAAACGATTACTTGTCTGGTATCAATTAAATATTTGTTAGTGTCAAATAATTGTTTAAATTTTTATTTAAAAAAAATAACAATTAATTAGATTGTATTTGCATCAGATACTAAAATTGGTGGTTCAAATAAAATTTCTTTGATTTGAATAAAAATTATTTGACTCTTAAGTAAATATTTATTTTATTCGAGAAAATATTTATTAGATTGAAGTAAATATTGATTTGATTTAAGTAAATATTTATTTCATTCAAGTAAATATTTATTTTATTCAAGTAACTATTTATTTAATTTATTTGATTTAAGTAAATATTTATTTGATAATAGAAAATTTATTTGAATCAAATTAATTTTTTTTCAGTGTGATTGATGATTTGAAATAAATAATTTTTCCCCTCTGCTCTCCTTATTTCACTTTTTTAATAAATTGTTTATTATTGTTTCAGTTGCAAGACTTGGCTGTAAGATGTATTCAGCGAAACGTTCGAAAATTGATGTCAGTTCGAGAATGGCCATGGTGGAGACTTTACGTGAAAATTGCACCACTTTTGAATGTTCATCGAACAGAGGATCAATTAAAAGCGAGACAAGTGAGTTATTATTTAGAGAAAATTTTATAAAATTCTATTCTTTGAAAAAATTCAATTATTTTCAAAAATTTCTTGCCAATCTTTCGCAGTAATTCAATTATTTTCACAAATAATAAAATTCTTTGCTAACATTCAAAAATTTGAAGTATCTACTATTTTAATAAAATTTATCCAAAGAATTCAATTATTTGTAAAATATGATTCTCAAGAAAATTTTTCTACAAAGAAAGCAATTATTTAAAATTTTTTCAAAAAGTTCTTTGAAAGAAATTAATTATTTTATAAAATTTTGATAATAATTGTTTATAAGGAATTAATTACTTCAATTATTAAGAATTAAATCATTTTCAAACATAATAAAATTTATCCGCTAGGATTTAATTATTTTTAATACAATTTTAATTAAATTATTCGAAATAATTTAATTCTTCGTTTAAATTTTCATAAAATTTATAAAATTTAATTATTTCTAAAAATTTTTGCAAGAATTCAATTATTTTTACAAATAATAAAATTTTTCACAGGAATTTAAATTATTTAAAAAAATTTTTAAAAATTCGTTGCAAAAATTCAATTATTCTCATAAATAATAAAATTTTTCACAGAATTTCAATTATTTTTAAATTAATTTTAAATAAATTATTTGAAAAGTGCAATAATTTTCAAAAATTTTATTAAAATTCTTCGAAAGAAATCAATTAATTTTTAAAATTTTGATAAAATTCTTTATATGTTTTTTGTTTTAAAAAATAATCAATTACTTCTATCAATTATTTATTGTTGTATTTAAATAATTAAATTTAAAAATTATGAAAAAAATTAGTCTTTTGAGAAATTTTAATTAAAATTTGTTCAATATAGGTAGTTAAATTCTCGTTAAAATTAAAAATATTCATTTAAATTTCCAATTAATTGGGAAATTTTGTCAAATTTAATTAAAATAAATTTTCTATTTTTAAAAAATTAAATGGAAATAAATTTTATATTTTAAAAAAAATAAATGGTAATAAATTTTATATTTTTAAAAAATTTAATTTTTAACTTTTCAAAAATATTTTAATATACAATCAAATTTTTGAAGAATTCTGACTTACAGTTTGGAAAATAATTGAATTTCGTAAAAATTTAGAATTAAAGTTATTTTCCAAATAAGAAAAAAATGTGAATATTTTTTTATGGAAATAAGGAAAATATCAGGGAAATGCAGAATCAAATTTTTGCGAATTTTATAAATCGACTAAAACGAGTTTTTTTTGTCGTCAAATTTAATTATTTATTAGCTACTGTCTTCCTACTTTTTTCACTCTTAAATCTACTTTTTGCTACTTTTCTAAAAAATAATTATTGAATGCAAAGTCTGAATTCATAATAGTAAAATAATTAATAATTAATAATATCAAATTAATTAATAACTAATAATATAAAATTAATTAACAATTAATAATAGTTAATAATTCAAAATATTCTTGATATTTTTTTAACTTACTCATTATCAATGGTTTCCTCTTTCCTTATCGTCTGAATTCGAAGATTTGAGTCAAGTTTGCGTTGAGATGCGTCACTGCAAAATAAATTTTGAATTAATTAGACAAGAGAGAAAATTTTTAATTAATTATATAAAAAATCTCATTTTTATAATAGGATTATTGTGAATTATTATTATAAATATCTAGGACTAAACTATTAGATATACAATTTATTTATTTATTACAGAATTAATATTTAATAATGAAAAATAAATTATTAATAATATTAATATTATTATGAAGTAATTAATAATGTTATTATTAATAATAATTAATAATATCAATAATACTGAAATTATTGGTTCAAATCTGATTGATTTGAATTAAATTAAAAATTATTTGAGTCGAGTAAATATTTATTTGATAACAATAAACAAGTAATCGGTTATTTGAATCAAATTAATTGTTTTAGTGTTTAATTTTTTTTAATTTTTTTTTATATTTACGCGAGATAATGACTTGAAAATTAATAATACGTAACCGTTATGAAAATAGAGAATTATAAACAAATTTAAAGAAGAGAAAAAATAATGAGACTCTTGAGAAAAAATGTGTGAACATTATATTGAAATTTACACCATTTTTTTTTTTTTTTTTTGTTATAATTTTACTATAACCCAATTTCATGGTATAATTACTTCACGTGCCCGTGTCTGCTCCTAACGGTGTTCTAATATCACAGAACAACTTTAATCGCAAAATGTTGATAATTCGAAAAAATAATCAAATTAATGTTATATTTTATCGCCCAGTCAAAAGGCATGTAACTTTAATATAAACGAGGTTAGCTCACGAGATATTTAGAAAACCAATTTCCAACTGTTAATATTTCACTCTTCGAGATTTATTAATTTATTTATCAGCCAGAGGAGTATATTATAAAACATAAATTTACTCATTTTAGTTTTAATAGACATTTTCAATATTTGATTATCAGGGGAAAAAAATAAATGGAAATTTTAATAGAAACTTGTCAACTTTTGGTATTAAATCACCTAGTTCTGTAATATATAAAAGCAATTCTAAATTCTAATAGGATATCTAATCTTTAGGTTCATATATATACGAATGTCAATTGGTTTATTGCATTTGGACAATGAATGCTTTCAATAAATATGTGTATTCGTTTGGCGCATCTATAAATCAGTGAAAGGAATAGAATGAATTGTAAAACCGCGAAAGTTAAAATATTACGGTGAAATAAAATAAAATAAAATCAGAAGAAGTAGAAAAAAAACATTTTAAATGGGAGCGTCTGGTTGGAAGTCTATCGATCGATTAGAGAATGAGAATGACACTAGTCAGTCGTTAATCAATTGATCCGGCGCCAATGTTACGACAAGGATTTGGCAGACAAACAATAAATAGAAAAGAAACTTGGCACTTGTTAAGGTTTCTTTTTTAAAAGCAGATCGATGTTCCTTTCACTCTTTCGATTCTATTCAATTTCTTTTATCGCTAACATCATTTTTCTGTTATTTCACAAAACACAGTTCGTTTTGTTCTGAAAGTATTTTTTTTCTTCTCCTTCTTCTTCTTGATCGGTTCTTTTGATTTTTAATTTCGGGGGAAAAATATCCGAAAGTTATTTAAAGGAATTTATTTATATATTCATTTTTTTTAATTTTTATATTAATTATAATTTTTACATTTTTCAATTTCAATTATTTTTATTTCTTTTTTTTTGGGTATTTTTTAATTTCAATTATTTTTTAGTTTATTATTATTTACTAACAAATGTTACGCACAAAACATCGTATTCAATTTATTATTATGCAAAATAACAAAATTTTTTATTTTCAAATATCAACTTCAATTTTTAAATAATTTTAGATTCAAAGTTTAAAAAATTCACTTTTATTAAGTACATCATTAATTATTATTGTTTTGTAGGAATTCAAGTATTTTCAAAATTTCACTAAAGGATTCAATTATTTTTTTTTAAATTTTCAATAAAATTTTTCGAAACAATTAAATAATTTACTAAACTTTTAATAAATTCTTCGAAAAAATTCAATTATTTTCTAAAATTTTAATAAATACTTATTAAAAATTCAATTATTTTTAGACATAGTAAAATTCTTAACAAGAATTCAATTATTTTTATAAATAATAAAATTCTTCTCAGGAATTCAATTATTTTCAATTCAATTTTCATAAAATTCAATAATCAAATTTTTAATTATAATTATAAACACACACGATTATTTTAAAAAGTCGAATAAAAAATTCTTTGTTTAAGTCAATTATTTACAAAATTTTGAATTAAAATTATTAAAAAAAACTACATTATTTTCAAAATAGAAACTTAAAGAAATTCTTCAAAACAATTAAATTGTTTACAAAAACTCAGATAAAATTTTTTAAAATAATTTAATTTTCTATCAATAATTTTAATAAAATTTAATAGTAAAAACAATTCTTATCAACATTGATTATATTAAAAAAATTAAAGAAATTTTTTAAAAGAATTATATTATTTTCCATATTTTAATAAAATGTCTTGAATGAATTAAAGTACTATTAAAAAATTGTAATAAAATTCTGAGAAAAATTTATTTATTTTCCAAAATTTTTTAAAAATCAAATATTTAATTTCAATTATTAACAAACATGATTATTTTAAAAAATTTCAAGAAATTCTTTATAAAATTGAATTAATTTCAAAATTTTCAATTAAAATAAATTATTGAAGAAAGTGTAATAATTTTGAATATATTCAAAGAAATGTTTAAAAAAAAAAATTAATTAGATTTTTCAAAAATTTTAATAAAATTTTTCGGAAGAATTAAATTATTTTCATGAATAATAAAATTCTTCGAAAGAATACAATTATTTTGAAATTTTTCGATAAAATTTTTTGCAAGAATTCATTATTTTCAATAAACTTTAAACAGCGAACAGATTTCCGGAATAAAATGATTTTTAATATAGATTTTTTATTTTTCTTTTATTTATTTCTTACTTATTTTTAATTTATTTTTTATGCCTTTTTCATAAATGAAGGAAATAAAAATATGTTTTTCATTTTAATGGTAATTCATTTTTAAGTTATTATTATATTATTATATTAATTAATAACTAACAACTTCTTACTGCATTTTTTAAAAAAAAACTAGCAACTTTAAAAATAATAGAATTTAAAAATTTTCCAATTAAAATTTTTGTTGAAAACACACAAAAAAATTCAATTTTGGAGAAATTACAGATAATTGCAGAAAATCAATTATTTTCAACAAAAAAATAAAATTCTTCTTATAAAATTCAACTATGTTCAAAATTTAAAAAAAAAATTCTCGTAAAAATCCCAATTATCTTTATAAATAACAAAATTCTTCTCCAAAATTGAATTATTTTCATAAATGTCAAAAAAAATTCTTGTCCTAATTTCAATTATTTTCAAAAATAAAATGCATTTTTCTAATTTCAATAATTTTCAATATCTACTATTTTAATAAAATTTTCCAAAAAGAATTCAATTATTTAAAAAAAAATTTATTAAAATTGGATACAAACATTTAAATATTTTCATAAATAATAAAAATTTCACAGGAATCTTCATGTTTTCTAACAATACTTTTATGAGTTGTTTAATTTAAAAAATATTTGAATTTGAAATTTTTGAATGTCTTAATTTCTGTGGAAAATCCTGTTCCAAAAATAAGATTAAAAATAGAAATTGTGCAAATATTTTTCTTCTCTTTCTAAAACAAAATAATAATTTTGTTAAAAAAATTGTGATTCATAAACAAAAATAATGCAAAATAAATAAATTTTCTATTTTATAATCACAGTTGTTTAATAATTTTCTAATTTTCCTTAGAAGTAAAGAACAAAAATCTGCATAATTTCAATTTGACAAAACATCAATTATTATTATTAGTATTGAATTCAAATTATTACAGTTAATTATTAGTATTGAATTTATTTACTCTAACGTAACAATAATAGTTTAGAATAATTATTTAAAAGTGCAAAAATAGTAAATTTTATTATCAAAAAAATTTTGTTCGTTTTTTTGTTTCAGGAAGAATTGGAAATCCTAAGGGCGAAGGTTGAGCGTTTGGAGCAGGAGAGAAATCATTTGAAACACGACAATGACAAACTGGAAGCAAAGGTGAGTCAAATTTTTTTTTAGCTAATTAGAAAAATAGATCTTCAAAAATTCGACAACAGGAAAGAAGAATTTATAAAAAATAAAAAATAAAAATCGAGCAAAAGAATAATCATCATCAGAAAGAAAGAAAATTGACAAAAATTTAAAGAGAAGGAAAACAAATAAAAAAGAGAAAAATGAAAAAGAAATAAAAAAGAGTAAGATAAAGAAGAAAATAAAATAAAATAAAAAAATGGGTTGAAATGACGAAACAAACAGAAGAAGAGGAAAAAAAAAATGCCAATCGGATTACATGGCGAAGGTTGAAATAAAAATCCTCTATTTGGACAATTGATTGGCAAAAGATAAAGCCAACATGTCTGTGCATCGAGAATGAGAAAAGAAAAGAAAAAGGGGAAAAGGAGGATTAAATTGGTCCTGCGTGAATGTTCCCAGGGAACTGTTGGGATTAGCCTTGCTCGTCGTTCTTTTATAGGGGCAAAAAAGTTGAAGGTGTAGGCAGGGATTTTCAATGGGCAACCCTTTAGAGTTGCCCGGCGCGAATCGTGGGTTAATTAAACCACTTAGAAAACAACCGCAAAGAGTTGAAAAGAAAACGATACAACTGACCGTTTAGCGTCGAGTAAGTGGAAAATGCGAACGAGGACGAGCAAAAATATGCGCTCACAGTGTATAACCCTTCACTGAGAGTTTATGATCAACGATCACATTATTATTTTCCTCTCTCAAACTCTCCCTTTTTCTCCCCTTTTTACTTCTCTCATTTTTTTTTTATTTTTACTCTCTCTCTCTCTCTTTTTTTTATTAATTCTCTTCCCTTTCATTGCAAGGACCGAAAAAAGGAGAATAGTATTTTTCCTCCACCGATTAGTCATTATTTTATAGAATCATTTTCTAAAATATTTTAAAAAAAAAAAAATTTCAAAACGGAAAAAAAATTGTTATTTGTATAGAGAGTTAGAAAAACAATTTTTTTTTTTTGTTTTTTGCTCATTGAAGAATTCTCACGCGAAGTAAATTTCTATAAATTAGATGCTTTATGAAGTTTTTCACTGGAAGGATGAAGTATACTCATGAAACGGTAATTTTGAAAACTCCCACGCAAACCTTTCGGATTTGTTTCGAGGAAACAGAAACCGACGATTTTTAATTGTTCGATATTTAACAATTTTTTTTTCTCGACCCCGCAAAGAAATGGAATGCAATTAGTATTCACATTATATGATAAACGGTGAATTAGTTCGAGCAAGTGGAGGGAAGGAGTAATTATTATTTTACGATTGAAACAATTTTCTTTTTAATTCCGAGTTCAACTCCGAGGGAAAGTGAAGAAAGTAATAGTGGTAATTTTCGAAAAATTTTCAGAATGAAGAATAAATAAAATAAATAAAATAAATAAAAATAAAAAAAAGGAATTTAAAGAATAAGGAGAGTGGCAAAATAGAAAAATAAATATTTCGAAAATCTCGGGACAGGAAAAATATTTTTTTTTACAGTCGTGAAATAAATGAAAATTCCAAGGCAAGTGGCCTTGTAAAATTAAAGAATAAAAGTAAAGGAAAATTTATTTTTTTTGTTTTGTTTTTATTTTATGAAATTTCACTTGATCTTAAATGGCACAATGGACCAGTATCTAAAGAATGTGAAAGAAAGTCAAGGAGCAGATAAACTAGATTGCAAATTACAGACATCTTGCGATGTATTTATATGGACTCTGTAATGTTATTCATACAAGTAAAAGTCAAGTAAAAACGGAAAAAAGAAAACAAATAATAATTAGCATTTGTATTTGTAACTCTAGTATATGTTTACTCCTGCGTAATAATTATTGAGAGAGAGAAAAAATAGGAGTTAATAAGAGATGAAAATATTAGTCTCGTAAAACTAATTTCACAATAGTTTTTTTTTTTTTTTTTTTGAGAAATTGTCACGACAGAGACAATAATTTAGGTAAAGAGTATATATTTATCAATTTTCCCTCGAAATTACAGGATTTTCATATGATTTGTGTAGAGAAAAAAATAAATGTCGCATGAAAATGATGATGATGATGATTGGTGGAATAAATTTCATTCTTAATTTACGGTGAAAGCTGATTAATAATTTCATGTTTTGTTATTTCAATGATTATGTTTTTGCTTTTACTTTTTACTCTTCCTTCGTGGGGGGGCGAAGACTTTCTATGGTGGAAAAGAAAAATAGTTTCGCTAAAAATAAAATTAAGAAAAACTAAAAACAAAACTAAAGAAAACTACAAGTAAAAAAAAATATCTAAAAAATTACAACTGAAAAAAATAAAACTAAAAAAACTGAAAGTAAAAAAATTAAAATAAAAATAACTAAAAGTAAAAGAAACTAAAAGAAAAAACTAAAAACTAAATAGAACTAAAAGTAAAAGTAAAAGTAAAAATGAAACTAAAAAATAAATGCAAAAATAATACTAAAACTAAAAAAACTAAATGTAAAAATAAAGCTAGAAAACTACAAGTAAAAAGAAATTAAACTAACAGTAAAAAAATTAAACTGAAAAAACTGAAAGTAAAAGAAAATAAACTTAAAAAGAACTAAAAGTAAAAATAACAAATAAAACTAAAAGAATTGAAAATAAAAGAAACTAAAATTGAAAGTCAAAATTAAAATAAAACTAAAAAAGCTACAAGTAAAAAAATAAAACTAAAAAACTACATGTAAAAAAAAAAATTCGAAAAACTAAATGCAAAAATAATACTAAAGCTAAAAAAACTAAGTGAAAAATAAAAATAGAAATGAAAAACTTAAAAGCTGCAAGTAAAAAGAGAAAACTAATAAACTACAAGTAAAAAAATAAAATTAAAAAAACTAAATGAAAAAATAAAAATAAAACTAAGAAAAACTGAAAATAAAATTAAAGAAAACTACAAGTAAAAAAAAATATCTAAAAAATTAAGTAAAAATAAAGTAAAAAAAAATATCTAAAAAATTAAGTAAAAATAAAGTAAAAAAAAATAAAACTAAAAAAACTGGAAGTAAATAAATGAAGCTAAAAATAACTGAAAATAAAAAAAATAAAGCTAAAAAGCACTAAAAGTAATAGTAAAAAATGAAACTAAAAGAATAAATGTAAAAATAATACTAAAAGTAAAAAAAACTAAATGTAAAAATAAACGTAGAAAACTACAAGTAAAAAGAAATTAAACTAACAGTAAAAAAAAATTAAACTAAATAAACTGAAAGTAAAAGAAAATAAACTTTAAAAGAACTAAAAGTAAAAATAACAAATAAAACTAAAAGAATTGAAAATAAAAGAAACTAAAATTGAAAGTCAAAATTAAAATAAAACTAAAAAAGCTACAAGTAAAAAAATAAAACTAAAAAACTACATGTAAAAAAATAAAATTAGAAAAACTAAAAGCTATAATAATACTAAAGCTAAAAAAACTAAGTGAAAAAATAAAAATAGAAATAAAAAATTTAAAAGCTGCAAGTAAAAAAAATAAAACTAAAAAACTACAAGTTAAAAAATAAAATTAAAAAAACTAAATGCAAAAATAATAGTAAAACTAAAAAAACTAAATGCAAAAATAATAGTGAAACTAAAAAAACTAAATGAAAAAAAAATAGAAATAAATCACTAAAAATAAAAGTAAAAATTAAAATAAATACAAAAAAAGTTTAAAATAACAGTAAAAATAAGAACAAAACTAAAAAAGCTAAAAATAAAAATGAAACTAAAATAGCTACAGATTAAAAAAACAGAACTAAAAAAACTAAAAGTAAAAATAAAGTAAACAAAGTAAAAATAAAACTAAAGAAACAAAATGCAAAAGTATGAATAACTAAAAGTAAAAATAAAACTATAAAAAGGAATAAAAGAAAGAGTAAAAATAACTAAATGTAAATATAAAAAATAACTAAATGTAAATAAAAAAATAAATCTAAAAGAAACTAAGAATAAAATTAAACCAAAAAATAAATAACAAAAAAAGGCAAAATTGATTTGTAAAATATTTTTAATTAAGTTCCACAATAAAGAAAAATATTTTACAACCTTGCGAATAGTAAAAATTAAAAAGGAATTTCTTCCTGGTTTTCTTGATAAATAAATTTAAAAAGAAAGAAAGAAAGAAAGAGAGATGCAAAAAAGAAAAAAAAACTTGAGGGAAAAATGTTTTGACAAATTTAAAAGCTTTGTCGGTAATGTCGTTAATCATTTTCACTTGACTCGGTAATTACAACATTGTTACGCATGTATAATTTGCTCCCGTGGCACAAAAGCGCTTTGAAACATTTTCATGATACTTTCGAGGCATCGTTAAATCTCATTTGGCTAGTTTCGCATCCAACAACGACGCCGGTTATTCATTAAGAACATGCAAAAGATTTTCCACAAGGTTTTACGATCTTGTCAGGGGATTGCACTCTACTGAAGCGATCAGTGTATTATACTGCTCATCTCTTCGAAAATTCAAAGAGCAACTATAGGCAAATGATTGCTATTAACTTGATCGTTTACCTAACTTTCGCAGATAAAAGCCCTTCAGCTTTTTGATCATCTATGATGAGTCATATTTACATCATCGTTAGCTGCATGCGATATTTTTTTTTTTTTCTTTTGCTTCATTATTTTTTCTTTCTTTTATTAATATTTTTCCTTATTATTTTTTGCTTCGTTACTTTTCTAATTTTTTAATTTTCTATTGTTATTTTTTAATGATTTTTTAATGTCTATTAATATTTTTTTTATTTGTTAATATTTTTAAAAAAATATTTTTATTTTTTAAAATTATTTTCTTACTTTTTAATAATTTTTTCCTTAATATTTTCTATAATTTTTCATTATTTATTATTTTATTATTTCTTTATTTTAATATTGTTAAAATAATTATTTTTCAACTTTTTCCCATCGATATTTTTTACAAAACAAAAATTATGTAACAAATAGTTTCTTATTCACTCAATTAAAATATTTCTGATGATAACCAAATCTGAGATAATTAGGCAAAGTGCCAAGTAAATTTTCC